GAGGGGAGGAAGGAGGAACCAATCGCAATGAAGGACACATAACTACATCACAGCCCCCACAGGAACAAACAGTAGAAACCGTGGGGAAGGGAGATAGTAGTCAGTGTTAAGATACGAAAATAATAATAATTTATAATTTATCAAGGGGCCACAAGGGTGGGAGGGGTAGTGAGGGAAAAAAGAGGAGTTGCTGTCAAGGGCTCAAATAGAAAATAAATGTTTCAAAAAATGATAACAACACATGTACAAATATGCTTGATACAACTGATGTATGAATTCATACATCAATTGTAAGAGCCCCCAATAAAATGATTTGAAAAAAAAAAAAAAGAAAGACTGAATAATATTGATTACTTCAGAAACTTCTGATATTGGCTTCAAATCACTTATCATTATCCCCTTCCATACATTATTCCTTTTTGGAAAAAATCTAGATGTAACCCGATTTCCATGCAAAGATGAAGCAGAAATTCTGACCATCTCCTCCACTTGCTGTACAATAGGTTGTAATTTGCCTCGGCTTCCCCTCACTTCCCACCCTCTAAGCCCATCTTCCTCCAGAGAGATTGTGTCACTCCTAATAAAATCTTTTTAAAGTTGGGGGGGTGGGGTTCTTACTGTCACTGAGTCAATTCCAACTCATAGTGATCCCAGAGTAGAACTGTTCCCTAGGGTTTCCATGACTGTAAATCTTTATAGAAGCAGGCAGCCTTATTTTTCTCCCTTAGGACAGTTGGTGGATTTGAACTGCTGATCTGGAGGCCAGCAGCCCGATGCTTAACTCACTAAACCACCAGGACTCCCATCACATATATGAAGGTGCTTAAAAAAGTTCATGGAAAAATCCACTCTTTGTCCATTCCATTTTCCGACAAACTTTCTGAAAGTCCCTCAGCGAACATCTAAATAGAACACTTCATATTCCAGACAGAAACTCTGTCGGGGTCCCCCACCCCGCACCTCACGCACACTAGCATTCACAATGGACTGCATGTCAGGCTCTTTTTGGTCTCTGGATATTGGCATGTGCGCTTACCAAGTTCACCGTGTCTGCACATTTTCTGCTCGCGTCTCAAGGCTGCTTGCAAGTATCAGTTCCTCTGTGAAGACCTTTCCTCAGTGCTCCAGACACCATGACTGCCTTTTCCACAATGCCCATACACCGTGGACATATCTCCACTGCTACAGCTATCATATTATATTGCAATTTTCAGTTTTCTTGCTTATTTAACTGTTAGGCTGAAACTTCTGAGGTTGGATCTGTCTTTTCATCTTTGTAATTCCAGAACCTATTCTAGAGCAGGATATCAGATTTGAACAAATTTGTCTAGATAAGTTCTCTAGGTTGTCTTTTTCCTGACGATACCACTTAAACTGTATATACACACACACACACACACACACACACACAGTTTATATATATATACTGTATATATACATACAGTTATATATTTATATATATATATATATATATATTACAAAGACAATCAGAGGACATCAAAGGGGATCCCTCAATTCACCTTTACGACTAACTAAACACTGAATCAGTCATCTATGGTTCAATTGCATGAAACTTTGCTGCATTTGAGAAATAGCCATCAATTCACACAGTTTGTGTGCCAGGCATCACTGCAGAGACTACTTTAGCTCCATCCTAAACAACAGTCATGAAATCTGAGGTTTCACACCCATATTTTATGAAAATCACCATACAAATAGGACATTTAAAAATTGTGCTTCAATATTTTCTCTAGTTAAATGTTTGTTATGTTTTTGAAAATACATCTTGCTTTTAAGTCAAGGTGTAAAATTAGATCAAATTTCAAGGCTCAAAAATAAAGACAGAGAAAAATCAATACATCAAGGTCAATTCCAAATAGCTAAAGTATATCAAGAGACATTTGATCTATGTGGGATGGTGGGGGTGGGGTAGAGATGAGAATGGATGGGTGGATATAGATATGTAGGAGCTAAAATATAAACTAAAACTCCAGGATCAAACCAAAAAGATATTACTCTGGGAATTTTAAAGCTATGCATTCAGTCAGACTGTCTAAATGTGAAATAGGTTATTTTTTATAAGTACATTTTGCACAGTGAATAATGATACAGCCCTAAAGTGAATTTTGGTTGAAGGTTGGTCTAGGAGGCAAAGATGAACAAAGCTTCTAAGTAGGCTTTTTAAAAAAGTATAAAAATTGGGACAGTAACCTATTCTATAATACCCAGCACCTGGGACAATACCCAGAATTCGGTTACTGACTGTCATCTAGTTGATTCCAAGTCATAAAGACGACAGGGAAGAGGGGTCTCCAAGGCTGTCAACTTTTACAGCTGCAGAAAGTCTCTTCTAACTGTTGACCTGTGGTTGGCAGCCCAACGTGAAACGCAGTCAGCTACCAGAGCTCCTCAGAATTTGGTAGCCACTACGAAATATTTGTAAGGAAGAAGGCAGGAGGAAAACAAGGCAGGTCTAGGCAGTGGGGTCTCTTGCTCTGTTCATAACGCACTACACTAGACGTGCCCTTTAAAGGGTCTGGAAACCAGTTGCCCCAGAGTCAGTTCTGACTCACGGAGCCCGTTTGCACTGTGCTCCACGCGGCTTCCAAAGGCTGACCTTTGGAGGCAGCTCCTCGGGCCTTTCTTCCAAGGCACTTTTGAGTGAACTTGAACCTCGTCCATTGAATGAGTAGCCCAGTACATTAACCACTTATACTACTGGGGCCTCTTAGGACTCATCGTTACTTTTGCGATCCAAAATAAATACAAGGAGACCTTAACCTGGGAATGAACATCTCCTCCAAATGCTCTTTGCCAATGCCTTTCCACCTTCTTTTGCGTTCTCCATACCCTCGTCCACTTTGCTGTCCCTACCCAGGAGTGTAAACGTTACTGTGCTTCATGGCCAACTGAAAGGTGGGAGGTTTGAGTCCATCTAGAGCAGTGGTTCTCAACCGGTGGGTCGTGACCCCTTTGGGGGACTAACGACCTCTTCACAGGGGTCACCTAAGACCATCGGAAAACACATAAATATTTCACAATATATAATTACATATTGTTTTGTGATGACCATAATCACTATGCTTTAATTATGTTCAGTTAATAACAATGAAAATATATTCAGCATATCAGATTCACAACAGTAGCAAAATGACAGTGATGAA